AAACAGTGAGAAGTACATTATATATCCCAGGTTAGGAGAGAAGAGTTAAAACTCAACTCTCTTTGCCAGCCCCCAAAGTCTTACGTGTTACTCTCTTGGTAAGGAAGAAACTGTTTCCACTAATCCAACATGATTTGCATTTGCAGTATTTAGAAAACACCATCACCCTCATTCCCATGGCTTTGCTCAGTGCCGGTGTTGGTCATCACCTCTCCCACCCACCAGTGCCTGACTTCCCTTTGCACCCCAGACTCTCCTGGGACCTGGGTCAAACACTCGTTTGGATGAACTCAAGAGAGCTGGGACCAGATAACGATGCTTCAATACGCTGTGTTCTGAGTAACTCTGGCGACAAAGAAAAGGCTTTTAACAGTAAAACTCATCATGTAGGGGGTATATCATTAAGGAACAAATAAGGGAGGTAGGGAGTTTTCAGAGTAGCTTCTTTTCTTCCATTTTATTTTTTACCAAAGAATATTTAAAGTCCCGTGGTCCATACCAGGGGACTGCATCCTCAGCTCCCCAGGGTGAGGAATTAGCACATCCACTTGTACCTGTGGCTCTTCTGCCCTGCTTCATTAGCATTTTCCCTTGTTCTCTCTGCCTCACTGGCCCTTTTGCCACTCCTTCACAAACACAGAAAGCACTGGAAAAATAATAGCCAGCAAAACATCGGCACCCACAAGTGTCTTGGCTGTAGACTGCTGTTATTTCAACTTTCTGCTTTCTTAACGATCTTATATTTTCTCGGAATGGTTTGACAGCGATTTCTCTGTTCGACTCTCAAAACAAGAAAAAAGGCTCTGATATGCTGGACACGACCACTTTCATCTCACCTCACTATTGCTTCTCTTTGCAATCTCTTAAAGAGGGTGAGCTTAACCGGCCAGCATCAGCCATAGCCTTGTGACAGCTGGTGAGGAGGGGTTTGGCTATCCATGAGTGACACATCAAAGTTGGGAAGAGCTCTCCCCTTTCTGCTCCTCACCTCCTCTCCTTGGCTTTGCATGAGTGAAAAAGTAACAACTTCTGAACTTTCTCAGCTGAAGCTAAAATCTAGCACCTAAACCTGACTTCTCTGCCCTTAATAAGGGGGGTTTGCAAGCAGAATGAACAGATCAAGTTTTTCTAAGTGCAAATGAAAATTTTCTAAAGCAAATGAATACAACGCAAGGAGGAAAGTGAAGGGCAAGTTGTGTGTTTAAATATGCGGACACTGGTATGGCCACTGTCACATTAATTACTCCTGTCCCTTTCTGCTCCCACTTCCTTTAACCTTGACATTTACTTTCCTTAGGATGTTTAACAAAGATGCTGCAAACTGACTGCTTAGGGCCACAACCACAGTGATGAAATCCCTCAGGCCTGTGAGTAACTCTACTGAAATAGAAGCTCTGTCAAATTTACTGCAGTGTTACTATGGAATAAGCTATTGCAACAAAACACACATATCGGTATGGTTATTTCCACAGGCTTTTAAAATAGCAATAGTCACTCTAAAGAAACCAAAACCAACAACAACAACAAAAAAAACAAATCAAAGAACCAAAGCTCCTCCAGAGCCTTAAGTCTGTTGGAAAAACCTCTGTTTAAGCACAGGCCCCAAAAACCTCCAACAAAAGTTATAGTTATTTATGTGGCATTCGAAAAACAAACAGCAACATTAAGTTCTTGCAGAATTATCATTATAGCAGCTCGTAAGGTACTCTGTACTTCATATTGCAGACAGAGAAATTGGAGAGATTAAACAGTAAGGTCATGTTATGATTTGTTAGGTGCAGTATCTTTATTTCATTTCTGAGATTGTTATAAAAACAATATAACATTCATTCTTCCATTTAGCAAAGACATCCTTCCCACAATCACCCCACACAATCTTTCAAAGAAATAAAACAGATGCTTTGCACTCACATCGCAAAAATATTTTGAATAAAAATACAATTTTGTATTTTACAACATGTTTAACCTGGAGCATTGAGCAAACTGGCAACGACATTCCTTTCTAAAAATACGTTTAAAATAAAGAAATTAGTCTACATAAAATACTGCATCTTAACATCTATCACATGCAGACTCTGGGTGCTGTTCAGAAAACTAAATACTGTCCTCCACTGCGCTTTGCAGCCTGGCTACGAGGTCTCCTCTGCTCAAAGCCCTTGCTACTGTCGGCATTCTTGCTCTAGATGCACAGATGATGATGGGGAAGTGCCAGATCATCCCTCAGATGTAGCTCTTGAACAGAAGAACTGCCCCACAGCCCGCAGCCTGATGGCAGGAGGTGATTACCGCATCAGTTTGCGTGAGCACACCGCAATCCTCCTTGGACAGGTACCTAACCTTTGCCCATTCAAGGTCCTTTCTGTTGTTAGTGGAGGCTAACTTTTTTCCTGGGAAGATTGACAAGAAACTCGCGCTGGCCCCTAATTACATAAAATGAAGCAGATTCCTGAGGCAAAACCCATACCATTATCTCCATCACATCAGCCTGTGTTTTCCCACCACCGTGCCATTCATTCACCAAGAGCTACATGTGGCTGCATGTGGGCAGCACTGTGGGTCGGCTGGTTGGGAGAAGACTTTGGCAACTGCTGTGCCCAGCTTGAGCCAGTCGATATTTGAAAAATCTTCCAAAGGCAACTGCGCCAAAGCCTGTGCTACTTCTATGGGCTGTGGCACCACAGGTGGATGCAATCATCCAGCTTCATAGCGACAAATCCCAGTTTACGTACAAATGAGATATCCAGCTGGTGCCATCTGCCTGTTGGTGGTTACATATCACCCAGCCTCTATGGAAAGAGCCTGCGGTGTCTCCTCTGTGCTCAGACTGTGGCTTTGCACATCGTGCTCTGGCTGGGCCAGTAAATAGCACAGGGCAGCAACTCGCTGGATGTTCAGTTGCTGGTGAAGTGTCGGGATGGGCTGCTGCCCACCAGCACAGCACCTGTGTTCTGCTGGACTCAGCCTGCCTGGGCCCCCTGAACTCCCACAAACCCAGGGGAGGTACGTACACTGGGCTTCTCAGAAAGATCACTCCCAGGCTCTTTGTTTTACCATCAGCAAAAGAATTACAACACATGTACAGGCACACATGTAACACACAAGTTGGGCACGGCCTAAAAGTAAAGCAGTTTAAAATTTTCTCTTCTTCAGCAAGTCCTATCAGGTTAAATGTATTTTCTATATATATTTTCAATACTTCATCACTTACCCTGATTTTTTTTATGTGAACCTTGATATTGAAATATACATTAGTGAAAAGAGAAAATTTTAAGACTGGAACCAGAGAACAAATACAATAATACATTACGATAAGATACTAATTCTTTTCTATTTATATAGATTATTCAAGAAAAAATATAATCTTAAATTACAAATTTAAATCATATTTCATATGCAAGTTTTAATTTACAGTACAGAATCACAGAATCATTGAGTATTCAGGTTGAAAGGAACCCTGGGAGGTCATGTAGTCATCTACTAGTTATCTAGCAGATAAACATCACATTTAATACAGCAGAATCAGCTTTAGTAGATAAATAATTCTTAATTAACACAGAGCACATTTCCGTTAAGATATTCTTTCCAGTGTGTGACATTATTCACATAGCAATAAAAATACAATTCCGGCTGAAGGCGATGCAGGCCTAGAGTTAGAGAGCAGAGAAAAATGACCTCACTGCTTTATACTGAGGACACTCCTAACGTAATGATTCACTAGGCTGGCAAAATAATGCAAGAGTTTTTCTCCATTCTCTCTCTGTTTCTACTGATAAACAATGTTGCTAATATTTTGCTAATTTATCTTGCCGAGAGAAAAATGAGAGGCCCTCAGACATTCAGTAATACTTTGGGACGAAATGCTGCCAAGACCAGATCCAGTTCTCAAAGGAGACCCTCCAGCCAACCTCGAAGTGGCTTGGAGCAACACCTCCCAGATCTCAGACCCTGGCAAAAGCAGCAATAAAGGGCTGGATTATAACACCAAAATGCTGGGGTTTAAAGTCTCCACACTCATCACATGTGACTAAATTATCCACACATTTCCAGCAGGTAAGTAGCCCGGTAGCAGCAGAGTGGCAGCTGTGTGCAAGGTGCTGCGAGAAGTGCAGAAATAGGGTGCCCCAGCCCTGCCATGTCTGTGGGTACAGGGCAACAGGGCACAGGGTCAGGCACGCAGCTTCCTGACAACTGAGACAGCAAAGACAGCTCCTGCTTTCTGCGTTTTTACTGAGCAAATCAAAGAGAAGCCCTTTTGCCCTTCCCATTTCTTCCCATCAGATGGCACGATCCCTGGATGTACCCCTGCGGCTTTCCCCACTGAGAAAGACAGAGTTCCTTCATCTGGAGTTCCCCAATGACGTCCTAAAGTCAGATGCAGCTGTCAGCAGCCTGAGGAGTAGGTGACTGATTTCCCAGCAGCACAGACTCATGTCCCCCGTTCTTCCCCTTGCGCCTGCTTTAGCAAAGGAGATGTCCTTTCCCCCAGCACTGCTTTGTGCAATTCTTTTTTGTCTCTGCTCAGACACATTCCCTGCTCTAGCTGGGTGCTGGCTCTGATCAAGAAAGATCAGCATTAAACCCTAGTTTGGAAAAGTAAACCATTTTGTTTCTCCTGAGTCTTCTCTTGGAGAATTTGACATTCAGGCTCTTCCATCACTCTGTCTTTAAAGCATAGCTTCACCTGTCCAACTCAGTGAGGCAAAACCAGGGAGGGGAAAGCATCTGCTCAACAAAAGGTGCCAGGGAAAGTTCTGAGGTAACTCCAACCACAGGAATTAACGACTGATCATAAACCAAATGTACTAAACCAGAGAAAACAATTTCTGGAAGCCTTATGTTAGCAATCTCTTCTCAGTGTTAGTGTCCTGCAGTATCAGGCAATGTAAATGCCTTCCCAGTGCTGAAGCAATCACAACATTGTGCACCCTTATTTTAGATTTCCCAATGCAAGACAAAATGGATGCAAGAGAAAGGGCAGTGCCCCATTCAAAGGGGCAGCTCTATTTATACCTTTTTTCTATCCTCTTGGAGTAGTAAGTAATTAAGAATATAGTAGCAATAAAAGCAACAAATACGAAAGCGATAAAGGCTAATAAGGATTTTCTGGTTTGGAAGAGGTGGCATTCAGGACATGAGGCAATCTCTTCTGGGCACAGCAACTCAGTAGTTTCAGGACCAGGAAAACCGTTACTGTCAATTATTTCTCTATAATGTTTCATAGACGGCTTTGGTTCATATTGATTTGCAATGTAACTGTAAAGACCATATTTAGGAGCAGTCTTGTCATTAAAAGAATAGACAAAATATCCTTGCAGGTTAACATTATCCAAGGTGTAAGCTGCAAAAGAGAACAAAGGGTTGAAGAAATGAATAATGTCACTTGAGCATTCAAGAGCAGTACAATATGCCTGTACATAAAGTCGGGGCAGAGGGATGCTAAACACAAATCTCACTTCTCTTCCTCAAAATAAGGGAAGGTACACGCACATCCATGAAGTGTTTCTCATAAAAAGGATCTGTCAGACATTGCCAGACAGTGATCTGCGACTATTCTGCAATTTATTCTCTTGTGCTTGGTAAACACAGCTGCGAGTGCATCACTGTGTTTAAGGATCAGCATGGAGCCTATCGTGAAAAGATGGCTCTCTTTTTTGTCTATGAAAGAGTACAGGGTTTGGTTTTCCTGCACCTGGACTTCTGCAACTTAGTTCTCTGATTGTCCCTTCTCCCTTGCAGAGCAACAGCCAAGTTGCAGAGGACATCAGGCTGCACGTCTCGCTAGCAAAGGTACAGTCACACCACAAAGAGACATTCCCGTGCCAAGGTCATGTACTGGGATACCACTAGTGGAGGTGGAAAGGTTATGCAAATCACAGTCCTCTTTTGTTATTGACTTGAGTTTCTGACACAAGACGACCTGTATTAGTCTTTATTGAGAACATGTCCACAATCCATACCGCTAACTTGGCTACTGGAAGAGGTCCAGCAGCTGCAGCATTAACCTTGAGCCATCAGTCCCGCTTGACAAAAACAATCAGTCCACGGTAGTAAAAGCAAACCATAATACTTTATGTCTCAAAATCACTATTTTTAACAAATTAAAGCAACATCTTCTAGCAGATGAACACAGGACTAAAAGCTAACAATTGCTGAGTTTTCATATGCCTCTGGAGAGAATTCTTTCTGCAGCCACATGCAAGACGTTTAGCACCCCTAACCTACTCTTCATCTGTAAAAAGAAATAACATTCACCTGCCCTTTCACAGAGCTGCTACCCAGGATAATTAGTCTGTGTTTGTAAAACTGCATGTGGATTTAACAGTGTCACATAAATGGTTACTGCTGATCTTTGTTTTCAATTGCCAAAGATGTACTTACATAGTGTACAAAGCACTTAAAAATACAGCCTCAGTTCAAAGGGTCCCGTACTGTAAATCTGGAATCATTTATCTGCACAAACCTGCTGCCTCCCTGGAACAATGCAGGTGAGAAACATTATACTCACAAATTCTGCCACATGCAGTCCCTGAAACCAGCTGGGAAGGCAGAATAGGAACTTTTAAGGCAAGAGCACACGTGTACTAAATCCCCTCTCGCTCTTCTCCCACATGACATGGAGGTAAGGACACAAGATTTGCAGTTCATCTCAGTTACTGCACAGAGTCTTGCAGAAAAAACCCACAAGTTTTGGAGAAACCTGCATCAGTCATGATGCCAAAATTAAGAACTTGCTCCCTGTGTAAGGACAAGATGGACAAAGTCAGAATACCAGAGTGGGACAAGACAAGAGAATGAAAAAGCTGGAAAGCTGGTATTACTGATGGACCAAACACTAAGGTGTATGATGCCAGAAATGGGCAAGTGAGCTTTAGGGCAAGGACTATGGCTAATTTGCAGGGACGCGTTCATCCAAGATGAAGAAGATGGAAAGATAGGAAAATATAGCTTACATGTGATGGTTAAGCTAAAAAAATCAGAGCTATTTCCAGGCTGGACAGAAGAAAAGAGAAAAAAAGGTTCCTTCTGGTACCAGATCAGTAGGAATGACAAAGTTCTGTAAAAACAGGGGGAATCTGCAGCTGTTCCAGCTAACAGGAATGGGGAGAAAAGACCATATCCATACATGCTTCGAAAACAGAAGCACCAAGAACTGGTACAGTCTGAAGCTGTAGGAAGGAGAGAAGCAATACAGAAAAAATAGAGTGAAAATAAGCTCAAATTTATCCAAGATATGTTTTTTAACAGCAAATGCAGAGAACATGCAGCCAGGACTTCAAAATGCTGGAGAAGGAACTTTTGGGCACTTGACACTCAGTAATCTGTGAAAAAAGTGGAAATTAAAAAGGAGGAAGTTAAAGCCAATACTTAAGAGAGTGGACAGAACTGCCAGCCATTCTTCACTACCTAGCAAAAGAGTGTAATAGATTATATGAGGCTTGATAAATAAAAATTACAGGAGATATATATGATTAATGCCAAACAGCTTAGCTTCATGAAAAATAAATCTTGTCAAAATAACTTGACATCTTTTTTATGAGATCAGCAGATCAATAAAAGTAATGATGTTTGATCTAATATACTTAGAACTTAACGCAGCAACTGACTTGATATTAAATGGCATTTGGATCAAGAAAATAGAATGTTACAAGGTCAAAAGGAGCCCATAATAAACAGATTTCAACGGGTCTCAAATAGAACTAGTGGGGCTAGAAAAGTAATTGCAGGTAAGTAAGTGTCACAGCAGGTATATTTCTACCACAGTCTCAAAGATTGTCTTTTAGCACCAGGGTATTTAGTGATCTTAAATATACCAGCGACCTGAAAGAGATCTAAAACTACTTCTCACAAAGTTTGCAAATAACACAAAGATTAGGGAGATAAATTCTCTAGCGTAGGAAGCTTTGCACAAGCAATCCACTGACATTTGAACATGATCAAATGTGAGGAGGATGTCAAAGAGCAAGCAAAACATACTTCGGCAGAGGGAGTTCTACCTGAGGGGCTGGAATCTGTAACCAAGTTTGAAACCTCAGTAGATAACCACAGAGTTTGTGTAACCAACCTGCTGCCATGGCCAAAGGGGCTAATGGGCTGCTTAGATGTACAAAAGAGGAGTAAGAGGGTCAGAAGTTATGTTATACCTGCCTGAGATATGGGTGTGGCTGTGGTAGGAACAGTGTCCAGGTCAGGGTTTACACCTCTCCAGAGGAACGCTGACAAACAGGAAAAAGTTTAATAATTGAAAGGTTCTAAATGATATTTTACAGTAAGGGACACAAAGAGCTTTGCTGGTGTTATTTATCAAAGAGATAAATGAGAGAGAGCTTGTTTTCGTTCTGTGAATACCTACACAGGTAAAATACATAGAAATGCACAACAAAATGGCTTAAAGCTGAAAGTTGAAGAAATGTATACTAGAAGTAGAACCATAGAATCATTATGGTTGGGAAAGACCTTTAACATCATCAAGTCCAACTGTTACCTAACTCTACAAGGCCCACTTCTAGACAATGTCCCCATGCAAGTAAGATTTCTATATATCTATGCACATACTTAGATACTTACATATGAAAACAGTAAATAAGTACCCACTGCAATAGCTTACAGTAAGGTGTAGAAGATTCTTCCATCAGTAAAAATTGTCTCATCTTGTGTTTTTCTAAAAAGCCCCAGCATGTGTTGCATGACAGGATGACTCAAAATGCCTCCTCTTTGCCTTATAATTTATGAATATTTGAGAAGGAGAAAAAGACTGCTTTGGGTTCTGAATAGCAGGAAAGAGTCCAGGAAATGGCATAATGAGGTAGATAGCTGAATTATTATGAAAATCACTGTTGGATAAGATCACTGTTGGATAAGATACAGAGACAGCTGAGGAACAGAACTCTTAAGCAGCCCTGAGGCACATCAGTGGGGAAAAGCAACAAAGCAAAACAACAGAGTAGAAGTGCAGTAAGAAGAAAATCTGACTGAATACATGTGGAGCTACTCACATCGCATCTACTTAAATTTCTTGAATCCACAAAAAAACCCCCTTCTTCTGCTGTCTTATGCAGAATATATGAAAGGTCAGTCTTCCTCATGTTTAGTATCACCAGTCAATCGCAAATCAAAGGAAAAGCTATCTGTTATGCTGTAATAAGATCTCATTTAGAGTATATTCTACATAGGATTCCTTTTTCTTAAAGTTAGACATACTCCATCACACTGTATACTAATACTGGGATTTGTGACGTATAAACCATCCTTACCTTTTAAAGCTTCATTGATGTAATTCTGTATGTAATACACTCTGAGCTTATCGTGCACCATATTCTGGTCATCGTCAATCCCATTGGCCATAACGTAAACCGGGACATTGCCATACTTTGATTTAATCCATCTGAGCAATTTCCGCAGTCCCCAGGGCACTACTGCAGCTCTGCTCGGGGAGTGCAGCCATGTGATATCATTGATCATTTGAACTTCAAGGTAGTGGTCATATTTCAGTGCATCTTCTTTCTCCCAACCCACAAGCGTAGTAGTGTAGTGACTCAGGGCAAAAAAATCAAATGAGCCCTGGATTAACTTCTTTTCATCTTCTGAGAAATAAGGCAAGTGGAAATTATACAGGTCAACACTGTTTCTTCGGCGAAGCCATGCTCTCATCACCTGTGGGTAGTCACCATTCCCAAAGATGGGCTCTGCAAGCCAGCCAATGTCAAATTCTAAAATTCTGTCAGCAACTTCATGGTCATTCCTGGAAAAGGGACAAGCTGGTTCAACCCAGTCGGCTTGCAGAGCTATAGATATTTTGCCCTTCTGAGATCTCCTGAATTCTTCGTCATAAAGATGCCATACTTTTGCATGGGCTTTCAACAGGTTATGTCCTGCTGTGTATGTCAAGTTTTTCACAGGCGGCTCATTCATTGTGATCCAAAATTTGACGTGGTCCCCAAGACTTGTAAAGCAGAATTTGGCATAGTCAACAAAAGCCTGAATGGTTTCTGGGTTTTCCCAAGCTCCATATTTGGCAAGAGAAGCTGGAAGTTCTTGATTCTCAGCCATAGGTTGCCACAAAGCAACAACAGGGGTTATGTTAACTCTGAGAAGTTCACTAGCAAAACACTGATAATAATGTACAAGTGTGTGGTTGATTAGAGAAAGGTTACCCAAAGGAAGGATTAAAGACCATTTCAGTGAAAAATGGAAGTGTGTGACATGCATTTCTTGCAGAAGAGAGATCTGGAGCCTGATAGCAGCAAAATCAACACAGTGACGCTTGCGTTTCAGCGTGAAAACTCCATCCACTTTAATAAGCTTCTTCGTCTGGTGAACATCCCACACATAAACATTAGAGTCAAGAAACTGGGCGGGTGTCGTGTCTACCTGGGTAGAATAAGAAGCACACCAGATTCAAGCTGTTTGTTCTAGGTAGGTGGGAACATCATAACCATCAGGCACAAGATAGTGAAAGAATATATTGCATCAAAACTTTGCACTTAGTACCTCTCTCGCATCTCTGATATGATAACATCTCTGGCTTATATGAATTAATTAATTTTCTGTTAACATGCGACATCAGAAAAGTGCCACATCTATGTATTGTATCCATCCTTCTTTTTCCACAGAAGCTTATGCTAATGGTCACCATGTTTATATCTTCCCAGGGTTGCTCCAGTCTATATGGGAAACAAGGGACTGATCAGGCATAAGGCACTAAACTTGCAACAGATCTCCAGAGAAGCAGATCTTCAGCGAAGACTACGGTAATTTTTAAAATGTTTTCCTTTCAAGATTAAGAAGGGCCCACAGAGACACTGTCTGTTGTAAATTACCCAGTAGATTCAGTTTCAAGACCACTCCCTGAAGGCAGTAAAAGAAATAATGAATGCAACATCATTTCTGTGTTCAGTTCTCTTCCTGACTATGATGAAAGATGAGTAATGCTCTGCACTTGATTTTTAGCACGAATTCAGTTGACAAGCGAAATGTTTCCTTCTTGCTAAAGACATCCTTTTTTATTTAACTCATGCTGAACTCATTTCAAAAGTTATTTCAACAGGCTGTTGATGTCTGAATCAATTTTTTTTTCAGGCCTCTGAGCAAACCCACTATATATCATTCCAACAATAAATGCATATCCCATAAGTTTTTAAAGCTCCAGATATCAGAACTGCCTCTATGATGTACTGACACAATAGCCGATGAGCCCTTCAGAGTGCCACAGAATTACACTTTCACTTTTTAATGAATTTCACAATCACAGCAAGGATTAGAAAATGGAGAAGTGAATTACTTAAAATAATGTGCTGTGTAAAATCTCCACCTTCATACTTTAGGGTAATTCTTGCCAGAATTATCCAAACCACATGTATTGACTTGTGCTTTTTTCTTTTTTTTTTTTTAATTTGGTGCACGGTTTCCCAAGCTCAGATCTCCTTGTCCTGCCCTTGGTTTGAAAAGCAGGTGTCAGCCTAAAACCAGCATTCAACATGTAGCTGAGGCTCTGCGGACTGTATAAAGAAGCTGCTGAAAATCAGTTGCTGTTTCCTCCGGAGAGGTCAGTACTGTGCTTATAGAAGAAAATAATAAAAAACAGCATGTCTGAGGGAAATTGCTTTTCTGGAGAATTGTCCCTTGTAGATTACTAAAGCATGCATTGCCACTAATACTGTGGGAATGCTGTCAAAAGAGTTTTTCCACTGTGATGCATCTACAAATCACACTACCTAAGCCTTACAGCACAAAAAGTTTAAATGGCCTTTTGAAATGAAAATATTCAGCTTTGAAGGTTTTGGGCATAGGAGAGATTTTTTAAACTGACTTAGGCTGACTGACTATAGCTGTTATCGATCCCAAAGGCAGCAATTCCATTTCAAATCCCTAATCTATCTGGGAGCTAGGAGGATAATGACTGTTAAATTTTCTTGGAAATTGGTGCACCAAGTAAGTAGGCTGCAATTTTAAGAGAACAAAGTCAGATCTTACTTTTGGAGTGAGAAAAAAAAAAACACAAGCCCCCTATACTCTAGCCTTAAGAAAGATTCTGTCTTTGTGGAAAATATACACTAAAAATTCTATTCTTGGATCAAGCTTCAGCAGTGAATTTAACTACACTTCTTTACTGTGGTTAGAGGAGCCCTGCAAGCCAAAACAGCATTGGAGAATTAGAGTCAAACTGTAAAGCAGACTGTAACTAAGCTACAATTTTTACTCATGCTATGAAGTCTTAAAATTTGAAAGATTCTTCTAAGATATCATATTTAGGTGCTATACAGGGGCACTGCAGGCCTCCATCAGATACAGTACTACATAAAACGACAAAGTAGGAATACTGAAATCTCATGTAAATCTGATATTGTTTTTCTTTTCTTTTTTGCAAAAGCCCTCTAAAAATGTTACCAGCATATCTATGCATAAGATGTAGGCAAAAGCCAGTGGAGTTTTAAGAGCTTTTAGGAAGTTTTCTAAAATAAATATTCACAGCAAACAAATATATAATCATTAAAGTTATGGATGTGGAAGAGTGGTCATATTTCCCATTACATAGACTTGGACATTTCGAATACACTTTAGCAGTTCTAATCAACCTCTATTTGAAAAGAACTGACTCCCAGTAATTGATCACATAATATGTACAAGGAAGATGAGCATCTGACCGCTCTCAACTTCTGTATATTTTCTTAAGATGTTGTTCATCATATCTCGATCTGACTGGATCTCCTTGATCACACACAGAACGTCTAGTGAAGGCTGAAAGACAGTGTTTGGCACAAAAGCCTTGTGCCCATCTCCTTGGAGCACTGTGGTAATACGTAACAGCAAAGACACTCTATTCAGCAAATTTTTTGCTGTAAGCTTGTGCATTGCTTTGGCTGGACTTATCGTTGGACTCACCTGAATGTAGTTGTCCACAATTCCCCAAGCAAAATTGCAGGGAAAAATACCTTCTATGGGCTGGTTTTCAGGCAAGGGTGGGAAGCCGTTTTTTTCTATCAGCTTTTGATAGAACAAGACAGAAGATTTGGGCACCAACTTCTTGTCATGGCTTTGAAAATCAACATAAAACAATCCGCGTCGAATACTGTATCCCCTATGCCATTCAAAGCCATCCAGGAGGGACCAGACTGTGTAGCCAAACACATTAACTCCATCGTACCGGATGGCTGAGGAAAGAACAAAACCAAACTTATCACAGTGCTCACTTCTCTGTAGATTACACTATACTGGCCATGTTTGCGGTATTCATGTGTAAGAACAAGGCTATAGGTCAGATAAATATCTCGGGGCCTGCCTCAAAGCCCGCTCAGGGAAGATATCTCAACTATGCTCTGGGAGCTGCCAGGTCATGGGTGCACTAGGCAAGGTAGTACCTGGCTTGGCTTTAAACAAGCCAGATTTAGAAAGAGCAGCAGTGCAGCAGTTGTTTGAGCAGTGCTGCTCGTTAGGCGTGCCAAACCTCAGCCTCTGAGGGGAACATGCTATGCTTGAACCATTTGTAGCCACCGAAGCAGCCGGTAACTGCACCGCACTCTGCTAAGCACGTGCTGCACCTCTCCGCAGGGTAGCTGAAGTGCCATCAATGCAGCAGTGCCTTGTATGCAAACCAAAGTTACACTTTTTTGGTTTTTTCCCCTCCACTATAAATATATGTTGAGAAAACCCTGATAACCATTTTGGTGTTTTCTTTCTATCGGCACAGATTTTAAGTAGAAGTGACAATGCAGGAAGACCCTCTTTATTTGATGATTTCATCTCTTCACATCTTCTGTGGCACAGCATTTTCAAGATTAAATATTTAAGGGTTTCTAAAAATACATATATATTCTAGGTTAACTGTTTGACTTCTAAGAATCACCACAAACTTCGAAGGTTACTATCAGGGTCTACTGGCATCTGTTAGTATTGCCAGCATTAAAGAGGGTTTTTTTAAGATTTCAGATGATACTCATTCCTAGCTGCATTAAACACTGAGATTCAGGAAAATATTTCTGGGCAAGGCTCAGCTTCAGGAAAGCACAAAGGAGTGTGCTTATTTTAATTACATAATTAGACCCACCCTAATTCAGCAATGCATTTAAGCACATTCTTAGACATTCTTTTGAACTCCAGTTTGGCTCTGTAGCCACCAGAGTTTATCTTTATTACTCACCATCTTCTGTCAAGCCAAACTGGGCTCTTTTCAGTCAAACAGAATATTTTCCAGCCTAGTAACACTGAAAGCATTATTTCAGGCAACCAGAATATCAAGATATTAATTTCCTGGGTTTATTAATGTACCTCACTACAACCAGTTATGAAGGACCACATAGATTCTTGATTGTAACCCTGTTTGGATCAATTAAATAAACTGCAGTTAAATAAGCAATGAATTTGGCCCAGTATCTATCAGAGGTCATGAGAAAATGTCTAAGGAAATGGAAGGTTTCTCCTCCTAAAGGCATCATTCTTTTATGTATGGCAAATGCCAGTATTTTTCTAACTTCTACATGCATCAATGATGCCATACCAGCAGAGTAAAAGCCAATACAAGTCCACTTTGTGAACTGGTCTCTGTGAAAATTTCTTCTTGAATAGCATCTCATCCCTTCTGTAAGTCATCACCACAGCACTCCCACACTTCCTGAGCACCTCATAAAATTCCTCCTTGAATCCTTCTTTTAAAATGTGTTAACTTTTAAGCATCGCCTATGAAAGAAGCAACCTGAAAAATTTTTTGGAAGTTCCAAAATGTTTGGAAGTCTCAAACAGAGTATCCTACATGGATTGCATGTTACTGAAAAGACACAATGAAAATTACTGTCTTTTTTTTTCCCCTTTGTCTATCTCTCCTCTTTCTTATATCTGTTGGTTTGCAAGCCAGGCTGACTGAAACCTAAACTGTCCTTGCTTCTGAAACTGAGTGGCCTTGTCCATATTACCTACTGGAAATAACTCCTGACCTGAATAACCCCCACAGCACGCCTAGAAGCGTGCTACTCCACAGGCCAGAACTCTGCCAGAACTGGGTTAAAAATGAAGCAGCAGTTCAGCTCACGCTCTGCTTAGCTCACTAGTAAAGAAATAGGCCAAGTAAACAAGGCAGATCCATAAGCATCAAATGCAGATCCTTAAAACCCTCTGCTCAGATGCTGCCTAGCCCCTGTGGTATGAAGGTGAGGGGTGTGAAGCCCCTGTTTCCATGTGGGAGGTGCCCAGGGATCTGTGTTTTGCCCCTGGACATACCTGAGAGTAAGTCAGTCCTGACCTGTCAGGGGTCTGGCTGTGCCCATTCTCTTTAAGACTCTTTGAATTCAGACCTGTGAACTCCCCAGATAACAACCTAACTCCCAGGCTGGTTAAAGTGACACAAAAGAGCTTGCATACTCTCCTGGTCAACGTGCTCCACTTTACAAGGAACAATAAATTTACTTGTTGCACCAGAGACAGAGCAGGGAAGTGAGTACGGCCCTAGAGTAAGTGGTTGGAAACCCACCCATGTGAGAAGATCTCTCCAACCAATTAGAAGCTCTAACTAATATTTAACTATTTTATATTATTGCTTTATGTACTCTATTCAACCCTAAATTACATTTGGGGGAAAAAAAAAGATTAAAAAAAAGATCATTAATACCAAACAGATTATTGTGATTGATGTCTAGAGCTGTACCTTTGTAAAATTTGGGCAAGGGCAACAATGCAGAGAAAATGTTTTGATTTTTCATTTTAAAATGTATTCTTTCAGCTTTATGTTTTCTTCAGAGGAACTTTTATTGCATAGCATTTACCCTCCCACATACATATTTTTGCATTTTGTATATACACGTTCATACATCTAAGATATGGAAAACAACTATTAGCAAATAACACAGTAAATTTCCTTAAGTCCCCTGAGAGTATAGTTCACATTTTTCCCACTTCCTTCCACCAAAGACAGCAGAAATTTCCCTACTGACTTCAAAGACAGCAGCATCAAGCTCACCAAATGCTCATCAAGCTCACCAATATCTACTGATATTAAGGGTTTTCAAGAGCTGAAAAGAACAAACCCAGGAAAGGGATTTGGAGTCTCATCTCACAAGTGCCAAGAAGAATGTTAAAGACTAAAATTACTTTTCAGCTGAGTTCTTTAACATGTCTCTATTGTTGGCTATTTTGCACTATGATTTTGTCAAGCACATATTAATACAACTTCAGTCCTACCTTTTAAAGTTTCCATAATGAACTTTTTGAGATAGTAAATATATTTGGCATCATCTCTCTTGGTGCTACCAGAAACAAACCAGCTGTTCTCCACAATGAATATTTGGGGGTTGTTATATTCACGGCTTATCCAGTAAAGAAGCTGCCTCAGGCTTATTGATTCCAACTGCTGGAATTTCATGTGGGAATCCAAGAGCTGGAAACTCAAGGTAGCTCCAAAAGAAAGTGCAAAAAAGTCTGCTGTTCCCTTGATATACTTCTTCTCAGCTTCACTGAATTCAGGCAACAGAGATGAGAGGTTGCTTCTCATGCTCTCTGGATAGTCACCATCAATAAATATGGGCTTAGCAAACCAGCCGAGCACAAAATCAAGGGATTTTTGACATTCTTTTATGTTTTTTTCGGTCATACGTTGAGGTTTTATCCAGTGGGAGCTAAGGGCAATTGACACTTTTCCTTTCTGAGTTGGACGAAAATGGTCATTGTAGAGATGCCAGACTTTAGCATGAGCCTGTTGAAAAGAAAGACTGTAATTAATGCATCTGAGATTCCATTTTAGTAATACAATTACTCTCAAGCACTAATGTTCAGTGTCACGCAGTAACCACGTAAACACAGCATTTGAGGCCTCAGCCTTACTCACTCATCAGCATCTTATAAGTCCTAAATTAACTCTTCTTTAGTATCATATTAATGCCATATATCAACTAGAAACTGCTTGTTGGTTGTGGAAAACGGCATCTCAGTTTTCCATGAGATACTATTCCAGGCACCGAAGACACTTTTAGCTAGACACCTTTATTAACTTTTATTATTGAGTTCAGACACACTTCCAGTATCTACAAAAATTAAAATCCATTGAATTAAATATGTTTCAAAGTACGTTTTCATTATAGGAATATCACCTTATCTGTAGAGTCACAGATACATAAAGGAAGGTCTACTCTTAAGAATTGCCCAGATCTCTCAAATGATACAAGACAGAGAAAAACCCTTGAATTTATTGCTCTTTGAACCACTATAGCAAAATCAAACAATCTGGATTTTTAAGTCTAGTGAAAAACAATTTATCACAGCTCTTGAAAAATTATTCCTATGATTCAGTTTAAATTGTTTTATTTAATTGTCATTTAGCATCAGTTTTCAACCACCTGTCTTGACATAATTTTAACTGTTATTGTGAGGAGATCTTTTCCTACCAAATTTCTTTCCTGTGCTCTTACAGAGTCAGTTGAAACAGTCTTTTTATGTTCCCTTTGAAAGCTAAATAGATTAAGTTCCTGGAACCTTGCATTATCTTCAGGCACAGCTTCAAGGCCTCTAACCATTCACACTGTTCTCCTCTGATTCTCTTCCAATTTGTCATCATCTGTCTTAAACTGCAGAAGCAGAAGTGGACATACATGCCAGTGGTAGTCTTGCCAGCAGTAAAACCAGAGACAATTTAATACTCTGTTTCTGCTTATGCGGCTATGGCACTTCACTGTGAGCATATGCTCATCTAAACTATCAGATCTCCAGAGCCCTTCACCATCTTAAACATATTTTTTCTTTGCACCTAGCTTATCTAAGAATATTGACTGCTCTATGAATCAACAAGCCATCTTTCTGTCGTTTACATATTAGTAGAAATTGTAATGCTCTTTTATAGGTCATGGATAAAAAGGTTAAAAATATGAGATCTATTCACTAGAACAAAGCCTACCTAATAACCTTTCCCAGTTTACATTCACATTTTGAGACTTATCAGTTAGTATCTGTTCAAATGTGGTGTGATGACATGAACCTCCATTCTTGCCATATGAAGTCACAGTGATGAATATATATGACAGCTTATTAATCAAAATGTCACACACATTTTTAGCCCTCCCTGGAATATAAGACATACAGAAAGCCTTATAATTCCACTCCATGCAGTTGGCATGTTGGCAAATTTTAACATTAAATTATTGATAGCTGCTGTTCAGTTTCGTTTTTATAAACACCACCATTCAGGCTTCTGAATCACAATGATTTCCAGTTACCAGCATCGCTAGGAACATTAAGCAATGAGAGTTATTAATCATTTTTTACATAGACATTGTTAATTACCCAGGAAAAATAATGAATTCCATTATTCTACTGTTCTTGCAGAGTTTTAATCCTCACTGCTGGGAGAAAAACCATTGGAAGTGAAGGACAACCAAAGGTAAGATCAATAATCAAGGCTCAGTTCAGTTGCCGTGACATGGAAACCTGCTGCCTTTGAGGAATCATAGGATATCTAAAACATCTGTGCAGATCTCACACCAGCTCTAGAGGAGACTAGACCCGTGTCCTTTTAGAGTGGTTAGCAAAACCAGAAGAGAACAATCTTGGAAACTGTGGATCACTGTAAACACCTAAGTACATGTATCTGAATCAGGTTTTCAGTTGCAAAATTCAGTATACATACTCTCATTTATAGTACATCAATACTTCAAATTAAAGTGATGCAGTGCTACCAGTTGTTTATATGAATACAATCGATTTTGATGCTAGCAAGAAACTAAATACAGTAACCACTTCAAAGTCTCATGTTAAAAATGAGAACTGACCTAAGCACAGACTTTATATTACTTCACACTCCATTACGCTGATGAAACAAAAAAAGGCATTACGCATCATGACCAAAATGCTACACACCCAACACTTCAAATATGATTTTGAAATTCCACTGGGAACAAAACTGCAACTCAAATCTGCACGCCCAAACTTTCCCTCGTAAAGGTGCCATACACTCTTGCTCTGTTGGACCTGACACATCTCCACATGTTAAGATACCACCATGCACACTCTCAAACACATGATTTCACCTCTCTCATCTGCAACTCACCCACAGAGCACCTCAAGGACTGTGGAGTACTTGCCCCATAACTCTTGGCCCTCCGTATTTCTATCAGTAGAAAGAGATTTTCCAGCATTTTCATAGTTTTGATTCTACTGTGAAGAAAGGAGGAAGGCAATCCTACAGGTTGTTCCTCTACACAGAAAAGGAGGTGCTGTTTACTCCCTCGTTGTAATGAAAAAAATACGAAATGTAGCAATATGAAACTATTTCACTCTAATTTCTAAGCAAGTCATCTAGTCTGCCTCTATGGAAAACAAGAAGACTTTTGTCTGATATATGCAGGGTGATCTACTCTTTAGGTGTCCCTCTTTCTCTACTGATGATAGACAAAACCTGTTACTCAATTTAGACAAGACATGTTCTACAGACACATGAAAGCAGGCGAGAAGAAGCCAACTTCAATGTCTACCCTCTGGAGTGTGCATGAAATGGAGTTATATTATTTCCATTAAAAAAAACCAGCTAAACATAGTTAATAGTGCATTAAAGCCTCCAGGCTCTGTGGACGTAGATTAATGAAGTAGCACAAAACTGCATAGAAATAAAGCTGCAAGAAGCCAGTGGCAGAAGCAGAATCTCTACAGAAATCTGGGACAGAATTCATTTGCCTAAAATTAGGTGTCATTTTTAGAGACTTAGAGTATTCTAGCCTGAATTCCATCCAGTTTCAGAAAGCTGTGAGTCTCCCACAAATCCTGTCACATCTCTCAGCTCCACAGAGACACCTGGCATGCTACAGAATGTGTCGAATTGATAATTTGCACCTATACCTATCTTCAGGCATATGAGTCCCACTCCTAGGGTGGGACTCACTCTGAGCTGAAGACACCTTATATGTCACTATCTACACATGAACTAGATACCCAGTTCCCACTACAGGCAACAGAGATCTCAAGCCTCACTCAGCTGCCTGAATGCATGCATCTGGTTGTCACTCCAGAATGACACAGGCCTAGGTCAAATCTGCATTTCCATGCAGATGTCCTCAATAGCCTGGGAAGTCTCACATGGCACTATTGATATACAGAGCTAACACGATTCCACTCCAAGTCAATCTACTCAATGGAGTCTAGCAAGTGATTCCCAGTGCAGTATGGCAGGACCACTACCTAGGTCCCAACACCTGCATGGATTAGCAGTAGAGTTAATGTAGGTTCCTGGACCTTTTTGAGATGCCTTACCTGTATGAGGATGGCAGACACAAAACTGGGAGGAATGGCTGACACACCAGAAGGCTGTGCTGTCATTCAGTGAGACCTAGACAGGCTGGAGAGTTGGGCGGGGAATTTTATGAAATACAAGGACAAGTGTAGGGTCTTGCATCTGGGAAAGGATAACCCCATGTGCCAGTATAGGTTGTGGACTGACCTGTCGGAGGGCAGCGTAGGGGAAAGGGACCTGGGGGTTCTGGTGGGCAGCAGGATGACCATGAGCCACCAATGTGCTCTCGTGGCCAAGACGGCCAATGGCAGCCCGAGGTGTATTAGAAAGGCTGTGGCTAGTAGGTTGAGAGAGGATCTCCTCTCCCTCTGCTCTGCCCTAGTGAAGCTGCATTGGAATATTGTGTCCAGTCCTGGGCCCCTCAGTTCAAAAAGGACAGGGAACTGCTTGAGAGAGTCCAGCGCAGAGCCACAAACATGATTAAGGCAGTGGGACATCTCCCTTATGAGGAAAGGCTGAAGGAGCTGGGTCTCTTTAGCTTGGAGAAGAGGAGACTGAGGGGTGACCTCATTAATGTTTATAAATATGTCAAGGGGGAGTGTCAGGAGGGCAGAGCCAGGCTCTTCTCAGTGATGTCCAATGACGGGACAAAGGGCAATGGGTGCAAGCTAGAGCACAGGAGGTTCCACAAAAACATTAGGAAAAACTTTTTCACTCTTGAGGGTGACAGAGCCCTGGAACAGGCTGCCCAGGGAGGTTGTGGAGTCTCCTTCTCTGTAGTCATGCAAAACCCACCTGGACACGTTCCTGTGTGACCTGCTCTAGGTGATCTTGCTTTGACAGGGGGGTTGGACTAGATGATCTTTCGAGGTCCCTTCCAACCTCTAACATTCTGTGAATCTGTGATCCTGTGATTCTGTGACATGATTCAGAACTCAGTGGGAGACCTTGGTCTTGAGGCCAGGGAAAATATCCTTACGGTAGCCCAAAGGACACTATACCTCTGCTGGGACAACTGAAACCTTCCAGATGTATACTACCTACAGCTTGAGTTTAGCCTCGCAGATCATGTGCAGAGAAATCATGTAGGAGCCAACCTATCATCAGTTCCTTTATATTTATCGGAGACCTTACTTCCCGATCTCAGTGACTTACTTGTTGATGCCTGGTCACAGCTGACTAGGATTAAGACCATGGCAATCCACACTTCAGTACTTTTAGTGACACACCACACATTGACTCCATGTTCCTGGTTTTGCAAAGTTCTGAGGGGTCTTACTTCGTTCCTTGTTAGCTTAGACAGGCGTGCAATGCTGACTTGGCTTGATTGTAAAACCTTACTAAAAAAAGGATGGATACAAGCTGGCTCTAGGAAGGGTTATGCAGTCACATGTGTCACAAGCAGAACTAACTGCTAAAAACTGTGTGCTGGTTTCCAGGCTCCAGAATTTGGTTAGTCTTGCTATTATTACTTGCATTCA